CAATATAAAGTAGCACCTCAATCACCTAAAGCAATGCAAGGAATCGAAAAGATTCCATCAATTACCACTCATCCACCGCCACAATCTTCACAATCTTCACAATCTACACAATCTACACAATCTACGGCTGCATCACTTCTTCCTCCTCCTCCTCTTGATATTCCTATTTCTTCAAATTTCACTAGATATGATAAGAATGTATGGAGTTTAGTTAATGGATTAACCAATTTGTAAATATAATCCATTAATTATTGGTAATGAGAGGGTCGAATTCGAATTCAAGTTTTGAATTCGAATTTATTATATATATATATGTAGTTTCTTTTTTTTTTTGTCTGTTTCATTTTACAATTCATAGCATTCAAATATTAATGGTGTGCAAAATGGTATATAATCACTTATCGTTAGAACCACACTTCTTTCTACATATTAATTTTTTGTTTATTTTATTGTTTATTTTGCTTTTGGTATTAGTGATATCTATTATATATTTAGGTAGCATTAAAAGAAAAAAATAAAAAAAGAAAAAAAAAAAATAAATGGAAAAAAAAGGAGAAAAAAAATCTCAAGATTTCTAAGTTTTTTATTGTTGCATCCTAAAAAAAAAAAAATTTTTCTTTTTCGGCTGTAAAAGGATTTGGCAATAAAACTCTTTGTAATTGGAAATAATAATTAAATAAACAAAGAAAAACAGCTTAAAATATTTAAACACTATAATATTCGATATAGTATTCGATGATTTTTTTCGTTATCTCAAATGCTGTAAATTACTGAAAAGAATTCGATAAATTCGATAAATTCGATAAATTCAGAAACTAGGTAACGCGAGATGTATGATGATCCGATTTACTCCGTACGTGACTTTATCTTGTGTGATAACCATAAATCGAGATACGTGGAGGTACACGCGATATTAAACCCCAAAAGATCAGTGTAACATATATCTTTTCAAAGAAATGCCGACAACCCGAGATGGATGTTGAAAAAGTAAGTAGATCTTTCTTTAATAATGATATCAATTTTCTTAATTTGGCTTATACTATCGATTGCTCGACGGATTTGTTTTCCTGATAATAAAAAAACTTTGTCTAATTCACGTGTTAATAATTAAAATTAGTAAAGCATTCTTTTCTTTATTAGTAAAGAATAAATAAAATTATAACCTGCTACAATTCGTTCTGATAATCGATAACGAATAATGGTTGAATTGGTTGAATTGGTTGTTCGTTATAGTATACATTGGTTGTCTGCATTAAATTGTCTACATCAAGTTGTCTACATTAAGTTGTTTACAATTAGTTGTCTACATTGGTTATCTGCATTAGTTATCTGCATTAGTTAACTGCATTAGTTATCTGCATTAGTTAACTCGTGAATTTAGTTAACTCGTGAATTTGCAAGAACAATTAATATACGTATATACTGTCGTATTAAATCTTCATTAAGTGATACTATGATGCTACAAGGTAATTATATAATTATATTCCTTTTTACATCATCTTACCTATACCGAGCACATGTACTTACGACGATATATACATTATTGTACGTACATACATTGATACAAAATAATGGGTATCACTTTGTAAATAATGTTTGACATTCGTTGTTTGTAGCATTATGAATTATGACTGAATTATGACTGAATTATGACTGAATTATGACTGAATTATGACTGAATTATGACTGAATTATGACTAAATTATGACTAGTTTATTTAAGTAATATACCATATAATGTATAATAATAATATTTACATATAATATTTATAATAATATTTATACGTATAAATGTTACGTAAAACTATTATATCTATTATATAAAAATTTATTATATTGTATAAACTTATTCAATTTTCCGACACGCGTGTGCATTATACATATCAATTTACAAATTAAACAAGATATTTTTTAAGATATTTTTAAAGATATTCTTTAAGATATTCTTTAAAATAGTTATTTTAAAAATAGTTAAATACTGATTCACCTATCCCAGCTAGCAAATGATTTCCTAAATACGGCACAAATATCCTTAAATTGTTTAATGTAATTCTAAATAACACTTGATATGTAATAAATGTCCACACCCCGGATTAATAATCATCCTACCTCTACGTATTCTACGTATTCTACGTATTTCTAATGATTCTACGTATTTCTAATGATTCTACGTATTTCTAATGATTCTACGTATTTCTAATGATTCTACGTATTTCTAATGATTCTAGACATAACAAACATTCTTCTTGCTCATCATTCTTATTGTCTGACTTTAATTCTGAAAATGCTTGTCCTGATGAAGAAAGTGTTGATCGATTGACATGCAGTGATGGCCGCAAAGCTTGAGATATTCGAGTCCTATATATTGTTAAAGGTAATGATCGTTGGTTATTGACATCATTTATGTTATTATAATTTGATTATCTATATTTCTGTATTTTCTGTATCTCATTGTTTTAATGTTACCGTTACCTGTTACATAACGAAATATATCCCCTGTATTTACAATTTACACATTCTTCAACTTGTATCTGATTATGTCGATTATTTCGATTATTATGTAAAGTTATTAATGTATCGTTATTGTCAGGTAAAAAATTCGGTTCAATATTAAAATAATCGTTATCATCATAATCATCATTTTTTATATACAATTTATTACTTCAAGAATAGGTGAATTACTAGTTCTTTGTAAATTACCATGATATATCAGACGTATCACGTATCAGATGTCATAACCCTAACGTTATTTTGTTGTTAATGGTGTGATGGATTGGATTGAATTTGTTTGAGTTAAAGGTGATCGATGTGAATGAAGTAGTCGTTGACTGACTTTTTTGTAAATTTCTATAAATAAACCGTTTAATAAACCGTTTAATTAGATTGGTTAATTGATGAACTGTTGGTGGTCGTTGGTGGTCGTTGGTGGTCGTTGGTGGTCGTTGGTGGTCGTTGGTGGTCGTTGGTGGTCGTTGTTCGGTTATAGGTAGTCTTGAATCAACATTTATATATCGTATTGTATTGTTAGCGTAACGGGAAGAATTCACATCTCGTCGAGATATAAGAATTACGTTGAGATAAATCGTGTGTATTTTCTGGACGATGAATGCTGATTCTTGTGGTAGACATTTGCTTGGACTGTCGAGAGTTAGACAGATAAACAAGATAAAAAGTTCATAAAAACTTTTTTCGATAGGCTCTTATATGAAATTCATTTTCTGATATTCATTAATCAAAATTCTTTTCAATGTTTCTTTTCCAGCCATTTCCTTAACCATTCTAAAAAAAAAAAAATTCATCTGTTCATATCATTATTATGATGCAATAATTACATTATATTTGGAGCTTCTAAATAATTAGGATTTCTTGCGGTATAGTTATTAACAATAAAATATATTAAAATATATTAATAATCAATTGATTATAAAGTAACTGCGAGAGATCCAATAAGGATTTGCCAAGAACTTTCGTTTCATGTTAAATTACCAATCTATAATCGTTTCCCTGATTTATTATATTGATTGTATACCATTTTGTATACTTTCCTAAACTCTTACTTTATGCATAATCTTTGTCATCAAAAATAAAAAAGCAAATAATATAATCGTTATTACGTACGTATTATCAGATTATTAAATTAGACTAATGCTAAAATACCTAATTAGTCTTTCTTATTGTTACAAATCTAGTTAATTTCTCTTTGATGATATCTAATCTATATTATAACTTGATTGTACATCTGATAAAATATGCAATACTGTCCGTTGTTTCATCATTGAAATAAGTTATCAAAATGGAAAGTGCTCTCTTTCCTAATATGCTAATGAATTATTAGTTATCTAAATTTGTATTATCCAACAGTTTAGTCCTCGTTATACATAATTACGTAGCATCCGAGAAAATTCTTGCTTATTTCGGTTATTAAGTACTGTAATAGGTTAGAGAGCCAAATCAGGAAAAATCGGTATGCAGAAATTCAGCCACAAACGCAAGCATATGATGTCAGAGAATAAATAAA